TAAAATCTTAAAAAGAATGGGGCTTATAAGACGGGACAGTATTTTTATTTTTACAATTCTTTTATTTGGTGACCATTTTGACTTTAGCCACATAAATGGCATCCCTTTTACTTCTCCCTCTTTATTTTTATATTCCAATAGAGCATCACTTTGTATGTTACACATACATATACCATATTTTACTCCTAATAGTTTTTCACCTTTAATGCCTGGCTGCTGAACATGCAGAAACATGTAGAATTCCCACGAAACCTGAAGTATCATTGATGTCCCTCAGCCATTGGAAGAAGTGATAACTATTAAGATGGATATAACCGTTTACATCCACCGGTTTTAAGTGAATACTTGTTTTTCATTTATTGTTTTCTAAATACGTATTTAGATCCAAATGATCTTTTTACAATAATTGCCGTTCAGGGAATCGTCCTCTGATTCTGTCCTTATTTCTACAATACTTACCATAATTTTCTTTTCCTGGCTATTTTACATGGCAACATAACCTATGGCTAAGCTCCTCCCTAGCGGTCAGGACCAGAATGGTTGATTAACAATTAAGCACATATTATATAAGCCCTCTCCCCTCCAAGTTTCCCAGTCTATTAGAAAGCTATAGCTAAAAAACAGAAATAAGGGAGTGTGATGCTACTTTGTAGAATAGCAAGGAAAAGAGAAAAAATTAAGTATTGGAACCAGACTTGGGCCAAATGGGAGGTCGTGAAACAGATAATGTTTTCCCAGGATAAAGAACACCAAGAATCTCTGATGCAATGGATGAGGATCTGACAACAGGTGTCTATCGACATAAGCTACTCTTGATGTTCAGCTTGTTTTGTGATTGCTTTTGATTACATCTTGAAATACATTTTTCCTTAGGTATACTTTTACCTTCTAGTGCAGGGCTGCACAACTTGCGGCCCCCAGATGTTTTGATCTAAAATAAGTCTCCTTTCCCTGTGTTTTGGACGACAAAACACATTTTTTATTTTTGGTGTGCACAAGTTAACAAATTGTTTCAGTTCACTACAGCAGTGGTTTCAAAATACATATGAATTCAATATATATTCCAATGAGTATCAATCCATATACAGGCACATTTTTATATTAAGGTAAGAGATAGTTATGCCAGAATAGTTGTTAAGAGAACCAGTAGGCTGGTTTAGATGAACTGACATGTTTCTGTGCTTAGTTAAGACATGTGTAGTCGCGCGTGGGGTTTGGGATTTGCATAGGAATTATACAGGCAGCGAACCATATTTTACACGTTTGCTAGACATATTCTCAAACTGGAACAGTGATGAGGGCAGTAAGCACTGCTGCTTTGTCTGTTCTCATCTGGAAATGGACCACCAGGTCCCTCGGGACAGCGGCCGGTGCTTTAGCCGGTTTGGGAATGCAGAAGAGACCATTCAGAGCTACTGCCTTAGCCTGCCATGGCGGCAGCAATGCTACCAGAAGTCTTCTCATGTGGTGCGGTAATTCGGCTTCTGGAACGTCCTCCGAGATCCCTCTCATTTTTAAGTTGTTCCGTTGATGGATATCCTCGTGCCGTGAAGCTGCATTCATCTGTTTGGGTCTGCCTTTGTAGTTCCTGGACAGCTTTAAGTGTTTCCATGTGCGGTGTGACTTTGTGTGAGGCTTATTCCAGCACTCTGATGTGGCCTGTCAGGCCCTGTAGGCTTCCACGGATCGTTGCCATGTCTGCTTGGAGGGTGTCTCAAGTCTGCCAGGAGCTCTTTCAGTACAGTGGTGGTAACGGGAGCGGAGTCTGGTGCCAGTGGATTTGGTTTTGGCTTCGTAATAGCCGGTAAGTATTCCTCCTCACCCTCTATGGACAGCTTGTCAGAGAGATCTGAGCATCCTCCTGAGAAGGCGGCCATTTTGGGTCCACTCGCGCCCTGCCTTCATAGTTCTCCAATATTCATCCCCAGGTGTGGTCTGTCAGACTTAGGCTTTAGTTTTGCACTCCATGTCTTCTGGGCTAACTGGTGATATCTCCCAAGTTCAGCCAGTTTGGGGGAGGGGGAGGGGGAGGGGGGGGTGGTGAACAGCTCCAATAATTGTTTTTTCAGTTGCATTAAGTCCAGAGCTTCAGGAACATGCCACCGTCTGCTTCCGTGGCCAGTTTGAAGCAGTGTTTGATGATGCTTTGGACCAAGTTGCCAGACGCATGGTTGGCCCAGACAGGAAAGAATGTGCTGAGATGACCTCCCCCCCCCCCCTTTTCCAATCTGGGCCTGAAAACTTTCATTGGGACTTAGATGCTGAAGATCCTCTTAAACCATTAAGGACCAAGCTTCTGGAATAAAAGGGAATCATGACATGTCACACGTCATGTGTCCTTAAGGGGTTAAAGCAGGGGTTCTCAACCCAGTCCTCAGGACCCCTTACCAGTCCAGGATTTGGGGATTACCTGGGTGTGTCTCAGGTGTTTAGAAAAAGTGGGAAAAAAAAAAAAAAAAACCTTAGACACACCCAGGTAATCCCTAAACCCTGGACTGGTAGGGGGTCCTGAGGACTAATGTTGAGAACCCCTGCGTTAAAGGAAGAAGTGGGATGTTGATATCTCCACTGAGATGATCTAAAATACTCACTTCCTGGCTTGTAACTTGCTGGCTCAAATTCCCCATTCCCTATTGTGTTTATCCCTCCCAAGACAACTGTAAAGGTCTTCTGGTGATTTGAAAGAGAGACTTTTTCTGATTTCTTCCTCTAATATCTTGCCAAGTACACAGACTAGCTCAGGAAGTGTAATTAGCTTCCCATGAATGTAGCCAGAAGAATCTTCTAGATGCCACCGATAAAGAAAGGCTTCAGACAAATTCCATAACTACATAACTAACCTGTCCTCTTTGAGAAAGCCCAGCAGGTGTTTCTGCAAACTCCACTTGCTAGGTCTTCCTCCAGACCGATGATAGCGACCCTGCCAGATAGAAACCCAACACAATAGCCAAGTAGACTTTAACCAGATCCAAGTCTGCTCAAAGTGAAACCATCCAGGAAGCTTCCCAAACTCAGCCAAAGAGACAGGGGACTCTAATCCACTGAGCAGTTTCTCCCTTAACAGAAACCTCAACTGGTTAGTCCTGTCCAGGCAGTCTTTTTACTGGTATCTTCAGGGGAAAAGATGCTAAATGCTTTCTAGAAGAACCATGTCAGTGAACCCAGAAAATAAGATTAAAATAGAGACAGAAAACATGACTGTCAGCTGGGACAGTCAGTGTAAGTTTCCACTGTACATAATTCTTTATGACAGACAGCCTTTATAGGGAAAAAAAAAAAAAATTTGTGCCATGGTAACATTCCCAATTTACCCCGATATTTGATTGTAGGTATCTAGAACATTGAGTATTTTACTTTTGGTTGGAGAGTTTTATTTTTCTTAAGTCATAGAATAGCAGGTTTCTCCACTATTGCTGTTTGACCAACAACTTACAACACTACTGTTTAATCTATAAGTGTATTTATGAATACAGTAAGAATTTGTACTGCTTACCTGGCCATCCACAAATTTCTTTAAAAGATTGGGGAAATCAGCAAACAGTGTAGCACCAGCTTGCTGACACTTCCCAAGCAGGATAAACCTCCATGGCTGACTTCATTGCCAGTGTGACATCACTATTCCTACACTCTCTAGCCAGCGCTATTGTGACCTAATGTAGCAGCCACAGTGCATATCCTCTGTTAGCTCTGGGTGGAGAGCAGAGTGATCTACGGTAGGTAGTCTCTGCTGACCCTGTCTCAATTACTTGATGTTGACTGTCTGAGGAATCCAATTGAGAGTGGAAAAAAAAAAAAAAAAATCCCACTGAAGTTGGCTGTGATCACAGGTTCTCTTTAAGATAGATTTATAAATCTGTCAGTTGTACACAAGTATGTACAATTGTGTTGACTGCACCTATGATTAGGATTGTTCATCTGTTAAAGCATGGTAATCATTTTGTATGTTGGGGTACGTTTACACACTTTGTGTAGCATTTACATGCTAGTAGATGCAGACTTGCATTAGTGTTAAGTGCCACAAGAATTTATTGGAGTGAATGCAGGGAAATGTATTTATTTTGTCCTGAACTGCGTGGTTTCCCCCCATCCCTCTCAGACTTCCAAATTCTATCAATTTCTCTCCCCATTTACTGTTAGGCCACCACTTCACACTTTTATCTCCTCCGTAGAGGCACTTCTTGTGCTTGCTCCCACCCAGCATGAGCACCATATTCTGTTGATTTGTTGTAAGGCTGAGCATGAATCTACTCTGGATTCCTTTGCCTTGGCTGTGGAATATCTTACATGCACTGTCTGCATCATTACATCTTAGGACTGAATGCAGAGCATGCTAGACAATCCACCTCAGCCTTGCTACAGAGCAAAGTCATGTTCAGGAGCATAGCCCTGTAACTTCATTGCTGCCAACCCATGTATACGCATTGGCAGAGGAGACTACATGCAGCCTCACCCTGACCTTAAAGCATTGCGAGAAGAGAAAAAAAAAAAAACCACACACCACAATCAAATGTCATGTAATAGTAACAATTTATTTAAAAGAGGGATTATGAGATCTTTATTACTAGACAATAAAAAAGTTAAAGTATTGTTGCCTAACATATGAAAAATAAACTTCATTGGCATGTAACCACTTGGGGAGAAGAAAATAAAAAATAAGTCTGAATCAAAAATTAATGACTTTACAATACAAACTATTTTATTTCGATAACACAAATCAAGATATAAAGCAGCCCTCATACAGAGAGCTTACTTTTCCTGCATAAAAAAAAAAATGCAAGAACCCATATACAAGATGCCAAAAAATATATATAAAAAAAAAAAATTTTTACATTCAATGTTCTAAATTTAAAGCCAATTGACTATACTAACCAGTGTAAAGACAACACACAGCTATTCAAGTATCAAGACACGTCCTCAACTAAACTAACAAAATCAGGCTAGAAGAACCAGCATATATAAAGTAGGTTCCCCTAGTGCAGAGTGTAAACAATAGACATCCCCTTCATTTTAAAAAAGGGGTAGAAAAGCTGCAGCATTTTTCCAGGGTATTTGTACATAAAAATTACATCTCAAACACCATCGTAAACCCTAGACATACAGTTAACCCTGATAAATATTCAGGAATGGAACCTGGTTACTACTATCTCAACCCTGGTACAGCCACCCTACCACTCAAAAACACAACAAAAACATATAGACAGCCTGTAACAGATACAAAGGACATAAAGTGTAGCAAGGTGCAATATTGCATACAATTTGTGCAAACTGTCAGACACAGGTCTGTAAGGCCTCAGTATTGGAATATTAGCCCTTGTCCCAGTCCTGTGAAATGCTCTTCAAATATACAAATCAGACATTCAATAGAACATGCCCCAATAGAGGTATCAAAATACAAGGAAGGGGGTGTGACAAGTAGAAATCCTTTCTACTATGCCCAGTAGGATTGCATTGACTCTGCTGAAGTAGACAAAGACACACATACACTGTCAATACCCTGAACATCCACTGTATGAATTCCTACAAATGCCCGCTTCTGCAGGAAACTCAAGCAGTGGTAAAGTGAACCAGTTTACATAACACGGCACTTCTTCTCATCCCCAAAGCTTCGTTCCACACGGTCAATTTCTTGAATGATCTTTGTAAAGATCATTTTACTATCCTAAAAAAAAAAAAAAAAAAAAATTATATATAAATATACAAGTTTAAAGAAGAGCTATGGATTAAATTAGATATACATGGCAAACAATTTACCTCTGGGTTCTTTGCTGAAACTTCCATAAAGGCTGCACCCCAAGAATCCGCAAGCTTCTTGCCCTCTTCGTATCTCACTTCCCGTCTGCAAAAAGTGATCACAACGAGATTTTACCTCAGCCAGACACAATGGGAAAAAAAAAAAAAAATTCTAGATTCGAACAGTCTTCTGCCTGTACATTGTTGTGTCTCTAAACAGGTTCTCATTACTTTGAGAGCTGATAAGAATAGTCAGATTCAGGTTCTCTGGTGACAAGAACCTATTTTTCCAGTCTGGTTAAAGCACCTTCAAGGTGCTATATGCACTTTATCCCTCCAAGAAGAATCCCTATAGGACCTAATTTGGAAAGACACCATCTTGGTAGCTCTTACCCAGTAAGAAGTACACATAAAGGACTAGTCTATTAGATAAGCAAGTCAAGCTGGGTCCCCAAGCAGAAACCAATTGAAAAAACTTAGGGTATAGTACTACACATGGAGAGAATACCTCTTGTTTTTGGTATCCTATGCTAAAGTTTCCATGTATGAATGTTTCTATGTATTGACCCATTCACAAATACACCATCTAGCTTGGATTTCAAGATGCTCCTAAAGCCTACACCAGTCAACCTTCACTTGCACATTAAAGTGCAAAGAATATTGGTAGAGCTACACAAGACCCCTTTCAATGTCAGAAATTTACATGTGATCCATGGCTAGAAATCGAGTGTAGTAACACAGGACCACTACCTCTTTAATAACATGGAAATAAAGGGACTGAAGGTTATACAAGAGTTTGCAACCAAGATACTAGTGTCACAACAGTGCTAGGAGACCTAGACTAGTGTTTGCTACGTTACAAGTTACTCGGTGACCTTTGAGTATAGTTTAAGACACAAGACACTCAAAACATACCTTTGAGGTGGAAGATCGCTTTTATTGGCAACTAGGACAATGGGCATCCTGGAAAACAAAATTAAGCAGTGTGATAGTCAGTCTGAGCAAATATTTATACAAGGGCTTTTGCTATCCTACACAAGCTAGCTTGGGCATATCCCAACCCTGCGCGACCATCTAGAAAGTACGCTATATACATGACTGCATACGTTTTATGCTTCACAGTATGTGTGGAAACACTTAGGCAACAGCTTGAGTAAAGACATAGTCTGATTAAGACAGTCAAGCATAGACTAGATGTAAGGATATTTAAGGGCATGTTTATGTTGAAGCTATGAAGTTAAGGGGAATAGACATCTTTGTTACTTCTATATAATACACTTACAGACACTTCCCACGGAGATCCACCAGATATTTATGCAGCGTCCGGGCAATCTCAAAACTGGAAAAAAAAAAAAAAAAAAAATAAGTCAATTTATCAGGTGATTTAAAATAAAGTTAAAAAAAAAAAAACACCTCAAGCTAAAAATTAGCTGTGGTCTGCACAGTTTCTAAATTTTTAACAAGCTTGCCGTGAGACATTTTGATACCAGCAACTACTGTAGAGTTTGCCGTTTGAGATACTCATGATATGCTATCCTATTTACACCATTAAGTGTCAAAACTATTTTCCCACGATGCTGCATTAACACCAAAGTTTCCAGCAGGTGGAGCTGTTGTATAGTTATCTCAACTAAAAATACTGCCCGAGCGAATACCTTCTTTCACATCCGACAGAATATACTACAATGTAACCGTGAATGCCGAACACAAAAGCGTGGGGAATCATAGAATATTCATTCTGGGGAGAGAATATATAAAGAGGTCAGATATCACTACAATCCCAATATAAACAAACATTCTGTGCATTTATAGAATAGATTACTTACCTGGCCGGCGGTATCAACAACATCCAACTCGAATTCATCATTACCGATAACAAAAGTTTTACTCCAGGCTATAAAAAAAAAAAAAAAAAAAAGGAAATTTTTTTCTGAGATGTCATTTAGTGTAGCTATTTTCTATAGGGCAATCCCGGGGAAACTTGCATAAATCGTTTATTTTAACTTTTTTTTTTTTTAATTCTCTACAGAATTACTCGCTACATACACGAATATACATTGTATCAGGTTAGGAAAATACAAGACGTACTGTTTTCAATTGTTGGCTCGTATTCTTTTGGAAACTCTCCTTTAACAAAATGAACTGCCAGAGACGATTTACCTGAAAAAATAAAAAAAAATAAAAAATTTTAAAAACAAATTAAGAATTAAATCCAGCGGTCAGCCATTTTACAAAGAGTGATGGAAGGCTATCAGCCATATGCTGGGGCCAGGAACACAGCCAGATAACTACATGGGTGCCTGGCTTGGGACATTGCACATTTTAGATTATATACAAAAAATTGTAGTAAATGACTGAAAACCCAAATTGCTAGGAATGAAAAGCGAGTTTAAATTTAGGTCAAATTAGCTAAACTGATTAAGTTTCACCTGGAAGAGTTTGGCCTAAAAACGTTAAATTCCCACAATCCCTATTTTTAGGGACTAGCCAAACGCAGAAACATTACGGCGAGTCATTTCAAAAGGCAACCAACCCCCATCCTCCCACCCCCCACAACATGGGTGTCCAACCCTCCCCCACAGGGACACGTCTCCTCCCTAAACACAAAATCATCACTTCCAATCTGGAGACACGCACCATCAACAATTACAGCGAGTCTTTAAAGCCTTGTCGGAAACCCCTATATAGACTATCCTAGACAATAATGTTCATAGCCCTGATAGCGGGACCCTAAACTAGCCGCTAGTCTATCGCAGGAGCTCGCAAATGCAGATCATGGACCCGATCCCTTTAAACTCACAAGAGACCTTTAGCTGAACGCACATAGCCCCGATCCCTGTAACCCCTTAAGGACCAAACTTCTGTAATAAAAGGGATTCATGACATGTCACATGTCCTTAAGGGGTTAAACTCACATGGACCACAATCCGTTTAAAAGACACGAAATCTCAACGAGCCGAAAGCGCACAGATTCCCACTGAACAAACTTGAATGCATACAATAATATTTCCTGGTCAGGACATTTCCAAAACGTATACAGGTGTGATCAGTGAGCATACCACACATTGCATTATAGACCAACCATTATACCCCAAATTAGACAACAGATCCCGCTCTCCCAGCAATATTACCGGTCAGTCTGCTTTGCTCAGCCCACACCCAGGGACTACGGACAGGTAATCCTCCCCACATAGCGGGTACTTACCAACTGCGGGGTACCCTAGCATAACAACTTTGCGGTGCTTGACCAAAGGCATAATGTGATCAATCAAATAGATTCCACACAAAATAAGAAACACGTGCTGCGTTCTACCGCTCTTCGAATTATGAGAAGACCCTCAGACCCCAGGTCAAATACACTGCCCTTATCAGTGACCCCGCCCTCCTCCTCAATACCCGCCAATCACAGCACGCGTCCAGCGAAAACTGGCCTCTGATTGGACGGCGGCTTGGACTACAGCGAATGAGCGGCGAGTAGAACCTCGGGCACGTTTAGCTCATTGTTTGGAATCTTTATTATGCATCGTGGAATGTTGGTGATCCTGGCGTTCTGATTGGAAGGTTTATCTGGATGGGCGTGGTGGACAGAAGTGAAGGATGGCAACAAACGCCATGTGCTTTTTGGATGGATTTTGTATCGTGTTAAATCATTGATATTTGCAGGTTTTACAATTTCTACATTATTGAATATGTGTATATGGTAAAACTCCACTGTGTTTGGAATATACACCAAGAAAGCAAGCGTTGGAGATTTATTTTAATAGATCATTTTGGGTTACAATTAGGAATTTAAGACATCTTTGTTACAACTCTTCTGTTAGTTGTGTGATTATACATAAGTTGTAATTATTTTGTTGCAATGAGCGCTGCTATAAAGGGTTTGCTACTTGCCAGCTTCATTGTTAGGATTTCGTTTCAGTTTATTGGAGAATTCATTCGAAAAATGAAGGTTTTTTTCTTATTTATTCGTCGGTGAAAAATCTTGCATAGGTAAATGCGATCGTTCACTTTTAATTGTTTATTCGTATACGAATAATTTACACTCTCCTTATGTGCATTGTGTTTACGTAAATATAGTGCAACGGCTGTTCTCAAATTAGATATATATATATGTGTATATTTAAAATTAATATAAACGAAATCGCAATTGATGGGTACATTTTTTTATTTTCGTTTTGTTTTTTAAAATCAGCTCAGTTTTAACACGTTTTCTCTTTAAAAATAGAGTTCAAGAGTTTTCCTCTGGTTTTAATTACTTACCCCGACAGTTTTTCTTTACAATTATCTAATTGTGAAATTATAGATTTGTATCATTTTGTGTTAGTTTTCGTTTAATCTTGATTGAGGAATGCTATTTAAGCTTTTCTATATAAAATACACAGTTTAATCAAACGAATAAAGTTTAAAAAAAATACATCTAATATAAACATTTTCATTAAAAATAAAACTCCCGTGAGCTCAAGAAACTCGGAGACTACTTTTAATAATGCATTACTTTATAGCATTCATTTCATGCTGAACATGTTTATATTTGTCATTTGTTCTATAACAGCCCCACTTTCTTACTGTCCTTGTAATGGATGTGGTTTTAAATGCTCTCTGACTTAGATACACGAAATGTCTTTAATATACTTCTATAATAATTTCACTTTTTATAGAAATTAAACATATTATGTAACACTGCTGGGACACATTTTACACAATGACTTCCTATCAATATGCATAAATCCTAAAATTATCCATTATGAGTTATGAGTCTATTAGCACTTAATCCATCCTGATGGGTCAGCACTGGTGTCATTCCATTTCCTATGTAAGCTACATTTCCTGCTACTGAAATCCTTTCTCTGAATAAAGGCATTTTCACCATAAAGCCCCTTACTCAATATATGAAGACATATCCACTCTGGGATAGTAAACACAAGTGCATTTAATGAACTAGATGTATTTTAGAGCAGGCTTTTACAAAATTGTTCAGACATTTTAATAGACTCTCTCCTTAGTCAAAGGTAAATTTAAAAAAGGGACATCTCATTTTCTGTGAAAATTAGGTATTTTATATCTTATAAATATATATATTTTTTTACTTTGACTTATTTTTGTTTTCATTCCTCAATGCACCATTTTCATTTGCCAAATCAATCAACCAATTGTTTAATGTCATCCAGTTTCTTTAGTTGTCAGTGAGCTTTTTTTTATAATGTTGGTCATTAAAGTTTATTTTGTGTTGCCTTTTTTTTTTTTACCAGATAGCATGTACAATTTAAAAATTCAGTATACATAGCTAAGAGATTTGAAAATTGCAGCACAACATTGTTTTGTATGGCAATGGCTCTTAGCTGATTCTTCAATTTTACTCCTGAAATCATATAATATTTCATTTATTATATTAGCACTGATTATTCTCACAGATCCACAGCAAATTCAGAAAAATATTTCAAGGACACCTAACAGTCATTGCTATTATAACATATGGTCTAGTCTTTAGTAGGAGACTGAGACCTTTTCATTTGGCAAAAAGTATCATGTTAATATTATTATTATTATGAAAAAATGTGTACTGGGTGGGAATATTACAGAATACTGTATATATGTTACATAGGGCTGTCTTCTCCTATACACGGGTTTAGTATAGAACAGCATACTTCTGTCACCTTCACATATGTGGATTTAAGATATCTTACTCCAGTTATCTGTGTATACCAAGGCTTGGCATAGGATGGCAAGCTTCTGTGGCTTGTGTATTCACATGGTTGTATATGAATTTATAATTTTACTTCTTATGTATTCATGTAAAGATATTGGATATATACTACTGTCAACAGGCCCTCAGCACCTTCTATTCCTGTATGTCCAACTTGTCTTGTTGAAAATACGCGTTTGTTAGTCCACATATTGTAGAGCGCTGCATAATTGGCTTGGCACTTTATAAATTATAATAAAAATAACAGGCAAATTTTTGTTACCTGTATGTACATGTGGGAGGGTGTGATATAGGGAATATGAAAACATATTTATATCACCTTTGTATATACAGGGTTGTTATATGATGCCATACTAATGTATTTGTACATACGTTTGTTATGACTGCATATGTCTGTACCTGTATATGGAATTGTGATGTGATGGTGTAATCCGCCGCCTGTGTATATGTAGATTTAAAACATGACAGCATACCTCTATTGGATTTGTATATATGATCTTAGAATTTGACAGTATATCTCTGCTGCCTGAGTATGCTTGTGCTTGACATATGATAGCATATGTCTGCTGCCTGTGTATTCTTGGAATTTAGTTTTGCCTAGTCAAGCCTTACATTTTCCACTAGTCAATAGCAAAATTTAGCCCTGACGAGTTGAAATTCACCACTGATGAGTATGCCATGACTTACAGTGGCAAGTTACTTTAAACGTCTGTTTAGTAGTGTAGAACTTGCAATTGTAAGTCCTGTTCCAGATTACTTCTGCTGCTTGTGTATACAAAGGGTTGGGAATTGGGATGTGACAGTATACTTCTGCTGCCAGTGTATTCATGGAGTTAGATTTGTATTATTATTTATAAAACATCAACAAATTCCACAGCACAGTACAATAGGTGGACTAACAGACAATTATTTGCTATAGGACAAGTTGACACAGAGGGTACTGAGGGCCCTGCTTAGACAAGAGAATATGACCTCTGCATCCTGTGGTTAAATGCAGTTGGTATATGGCAGCATACTTCCCCCCCTGTGCATACATGACAACATATTTCTGCCCCCTGTCTGTGTGTGTATATATATATATATATATACTGTATATAGTTGGTATATGACTATGAAGACTATGAAACGTCTTTACATGCTCACAACACATTGTAACAAATCAAGCTTGTCATCACATCATAAGCAGTGTCTCGGATTAGTCACCGCGTATAGACTGTTACAATGAGTTCACACCGTTCCTTGTTTACAATTAGCTTTTTTAACTGACCTAACTTCAATAACTGATCTCGAGGCCACATGTACCCCTATAAAATAAAGAGTTGCCACAGCACGACCCAAAGACACTTTACCTGCAGGAACTATTTATATACAATCAAAGACAAAACCAATCGTTGGGTCATTGGTCAAGTATTTGGAAAATGGATCTACGATTGTATAACTGGGTCCTTCACGAAAACCCTGAAACTCGGGGTCAAGCAGTGGAATTTCCCAGGTATGTCTGTTGTTTAGGAATCATTATTGACAATCATATTTGCTTTAGGTCAAAAACACATTTGCAAACTGTTGTAAATCTTAGGAAGAGATATGTAATCTGATTATAGAGCTTTGGTGACCAGCACAAAACAACCTCTTTGATGTGTTTCTATGGTGGAAGACACCAGACTCTAAGATAAAGGTGGAGCATTGCTAATTGCTTCTTAAGTATATTTTCCATTTCCAAAATCAGTTGCCAGGGTTCAGCTTCTACATGTTATCTTCAGTGATCTCATTAACTTTATTGGTGTTGTTTATTTTTCTTAGGTTTCCAGTGCTTCTGATTGGCCAGCTTCTGGCCAGTCAAGGGAAGGTATGCTCATGCTCAACAAGTTTGTTGCTATCTTCCCCAAACACAGCAGGGTTACTGAAAGTTTGGAATTGCTATCTGAGGTGGGAGAGCAGAGCAAACACAGACTGCACACTGTGACTATGTCTTTAATCATGTTGACTGTGTGATTGTAAGATTGTGTCATTTTTCTGCCCCTTAACCTTTTCATTTCTGAGATTATATGCTCTGAAAGTGAAGTGTAGTCCAAAAACATATTTTCTTGCATTATCTGATTTCAAATATTCGTTGTTTAAAAATTAATTTCGTAACATATCTGCAACTATTTTATTGAGAATGTATAGAGAAATTGGATATTATTATTTTATTATTTATATAGCGCCAGCAAATTCCGTAGCGCTGTACAATGGGTATGATATCGGACATTTCTTAACAATATACCTTATTTATTTATATATTACTGGTATTTATAAAGCGCCAACAGATTCCACTGCGCTGTACAATTAGTGGAGGACGTAAAATATACACAGACAAATACAAAAGGTAGAGAGGGCCTTGCCTGTAAACTGAGATCTAGCCATTTAAGCTTACAATCTACTTTAACGAGATGGCATAGTTTATCAATAGTGGACGCAGTAACCCATGTAGGCATAGTACAGTCTAATACAGGGGTGCCTGAAATCTAGATCCCCAGATTTTTTAAAACTGCAACTTCCATGATGCTTTGTTAA